CACGGGAGGTAGGACTTCCTCTCTTCTGGATTGCTGGCATTTTGCAAGCATCCTCCAGAAAGCTGGCATCAAGTCCATGTGAGGAAAATAGGATTATAAATTCTGGCAGGTTAAGTGTAAACAGATAATAAGGGAAACAAAAAAGACTTTGCCGAACAGTTTGAAAAAGATAAAAGCACAGAGAGTAAACCTTTTTTTCAAGTATATCCAACAGCCTGCTGGAGAATTTATAGGAACAGTAGGTCCTACTGAGAGCAATACAAAAAGAGCTCTCAGAAGATACTGCTTTTGCAGAAAAACAGACTGAACTTTTGGCATCCGTGCGAAGTGTTTCGCCAGTTCTTCAACCATAGATCACTGGCAGCTCGGAGGTTCTTCTGGGCCACACGCTGCCTCACTTTTACACTTGCCCATTATGCCTGCTATTGGTAAATGTCAGAGCCAGGACACATGTCTGAACAAGGTGTTTGATACAGCCATTCTATGCTTTTTTGTGGTGGGGGTTTTTAATATTAATTTGGTGTGCCTACATTGACAGTTCAGTCCCAATCAAAGCATGACTTGCTGTCAACTTATGCAAACATTTCTTTTCCTTCACTCTTGACAGCAGACTAGCTAAAACCTGCCAGAGGACACTCTGTGTTTGTGGTCTGCCACTCGAGCTCCGCAATACCTGAGCTTCAGACACAGGTAGCCATTACGCAGCTGGAAGGCTGTAGCTCAGGAGAGCACGTATGATAACCACTCCTCCTGAGGACAGCGCTCGAGGCATTTTTCACTTAAAGCATGAACAAGTATCTTCAAGGGAAGAAAGTTTCCATGAATTGGGGCCATATAAAGCAGCCAGGTTTTGAACCAGAACACCCAAGAGCAAGTAGATGAGGGATGGATGCGTGTTAAAATACCCTCAGGACATTTATCCCCTCAGGACACTCATCCAATATATTTGGTTTCCATGTAATTAAAGCAATATGCTGGTAATCAAATTTGTGTGAAGTAGTATTACAAATGCTAGTAAGATTTCCCAAAACCTACCACAATGGCAGAGGAATTTCTTTTGCAGCTTAGAATATGAAATCCTAGTCAAGCTCACATTCGGAAAAGACTGGGCTTGTTGTTAATGTACCTCTCTTACCTTATGAGGGAAATGAGTGGTATTCCTACTACGGGCTTAAGGTTTGCTGTCTACACATAAGCATTCTTTCATTGGGAATAATGAAGGCCTTCTAGTGAAAGTGCCTGGCTGGGTCCCTAATTCCACAGTTACACAATCACTTTAAGGTAACTTAAATACAGGCTGCTGCTGCAGGGGATCATCTACTGTTCTTAGCAGCCTGGACATGTATTCCCAGCCAGCATGGTAACCAGACCGGGGAACTCTTCTACTTCTAAATAAACGGGATCATGGCAAAAGTGGAGATAGACTTGTCCTTTGTGGTTGCAGCCCATACCTTGGCTTAAAATTAGAAAGGAATCACACATTTTAAAAAGAGACTAATATAAAATAAAATGCAACTTAGAACAGTCAAGTTTCCTATATAAAAATATTTGGTCTGAAACAAGTAGAATCTCACCAGAACATACCAACTGCTCTCTGTAGCGCAGACTTTACGCTGTTGAAGTGGCTCCTCAGATAAAATGCCCTCTGAACAGAAGCAGAAGGTGGAATGATGCACAAGCAAAGAAGTGCACAGGTTGCCAATGATAAAACTTGGGGAACTGGGGCAGGGGGAATGAACAGGTATTTCAGTTATTCTGAAACCTGGTTAATATTTACCAAGAGAGAAATACCTTAGCAATCAGTGAGGTTAAAGCAACGTTAGCAATGCTCATACTGTATAATTATGGTAGGTATTGCATATTTGAGCATTTCTGGCATCTCGGGGAACGTTTTTCTGATTCTGAAAAGAGCCTTTGGGGTGCTTTTTGTGTAATGCACTGAAATGTTCCCGCCACCACAGCACCACCTCCTCTAGTGCTCTGTCTCCAGAAGTAGGGAAGATTTTTCAGACATAAATCCTGACATAATACAATAATTCAAAGACGGCTGAGCAGTTTTCCCTAGTAAGAAATAAGTTAGTCAGGAATCCAAAGCACAGGCATATTGTGCTGAACTTTCACTGTGCTGAACTTACAACTGCTTTAATGTCATTTTCTAGTGTAATGCAAGCGGAGAGCCAGATCTAATAATTTTTAATTTGTGCTCAAGATGTGGAGATGGTGCACATGCCTTCTTGTTTGACTGAGCTGATCCTTCTTTATAAGTAATTTTCATACAGATTATTCCCTGCTTTTTTTGTGTGTGTATCAGACTTTCACTGACTTTGCCCCTTACTTCTTTTGAAGAATGACCTCAGGATCGTTCCTCTCGTAAAAGTCTAGAACTCCATATGACACCAAGAGACACAGCCCCACTGAAGAAGACAAGGACTAAGGACTTGGATTTGGCAAAAATAAGTGTTGAATGTTCTTCAAAGAAGTGTCACCGCTTACCTAAATATTATTTTCTCATCTAAATATTACTGGGACTGTTTGTAGAAGCCCACAAAAAATACTGACACCATTACCAATGCTGGAAGCATGCTGCTAAGGGCCTGTTCATATACTAGTGATGATCAAACAATTACTTCCTTACAGAATTACTCTCAACCACAAGCCATTTCAGTAAAAAAAAAGGAAACTGCTTTCTGGCCAAATCCAGCTGTGAACAGGAACTATTTTCCTGCTTCCTTGAGACCACGTGTGTCTGGGATAACACCAGGAATAACCTGAATAAAAGAGCATGGTCTCCTCCAAGAAGTGGGCAAACTGAACAGGTTGTTCTGATGAAAACAAGCCACTAGGAGCAGCTCTGATCCAAGCCTTTTGTGGCCAGTAGGTAAGAAAAGAAGTACTGGAAACTATACATGAACAAAGGAGGTATGAAGGTAGCACAGAGCTGACAGCACTGTTTTCTACCTGCATCAGCACCTTTCTGAACATCACTGACTGAAAATGATTACTACAAAATCAAGATGATCTTGGCAGGAAGTTACTCAGAGAATTGTATCCATATAAAGTCACAGAACATGTCTGTATTACAGTCATTAAAGCAACTTAAAACCTTACTGACTTTCTTGAATTTTAATTGATTCTATAACCTTCCTTCACATGATCATTGAAATAAGGCTGTACCTTCACCTGTTGAACCTTGCTTTGGCCCATGTGATTGGTACATTCATTACCTTGGGCTCAGTTACTGCCCTTTTTTTATAGTAAAGCTAGTTTGCTGCCAGAATTGCATAGACAGAAAATGCAACTGCTTCGATTCCTAGTGTGAACTGGGTGATTCTACAGAAAAATACAAATGCCACCTACTAGAAATGGAGCCTTAGAGGAAAAGGAAATTTCTGTTAAACCCATAGCCCTGGAATTTGACCACAGAATATTTTAAAGAACCTTGAATTTTACCTTCTCCAGGGTTAAATAATCAAGTTACCCTAAAAATAATTGATACTGGGAGAAATAACTTTATGGTACATCTTTTTTTTTTTACATGAAAGACTTATTAAAGTAATAAATATGGTATAACATTTTTAGGCAAGTACGGATGGGTAATTGTTCCCTGCAGCTCTCTGCCTCTGGTTCTGTTCATTCTACTTTAGAAATTAGAAACCTGATACAGGAATGAAAAAATTCCTTTGCAAAAGTCTTTTTTTCTTGCTGCTGATAATGTTATCTCTCACATGCTTTAATCAACAGAACATTTAGCGAAAGAAGGAGTTTAGAAGTCTCTTTCATGCTATCAAAAATAGGAAGAATATCACAATATAAAAATTAGCAGGTAGAGAACACAAATGACACCCAATAGAGGTATCAGATAGAAACTGTCTCTGTGTCAATTTTTAGCATAATCCTGCCTGTAGCACTGAGATTTTGCTTTTCTACCATGTTTGGAAGCTCAATGTTTTATTCTTCCAGTTGCATTAAGCCATGACAATGAGAGATAGACAGATTTATTTTTTAATAGGATTCAGCCTGCCCAGCAGTCATTTAGCTGGAAATGCCATTGCTTTACAGCAGAGCTTCCCGACTTAGTTTGTACGGGCACTGCCACCAGCAAAAGAGATGGCACTGCACCATGTCAGCTCAGCAGCGGCAGTAGCAGCTTCTGGCTGTGTGCAAGGCTGCACATGCACTGTAGGAGATGCGATTCTAGCCCTGGTATTTCTCTAAGTCCTCTGCTGGCCTTTGTACACAAGGTGGAGGAGGGAGAGGTATTTGGTCATTGCCTATATCTCCTCTGGGATTGTTTTGAAATTGCTCTCACCACATGCATCTTACCTGCAGGATGCCTGCTTTACGACTGAAATCACACACAGAATTTTAATGCTTCCCATTCATAGATTTCAAAGCAAAGGCCAAGGTGAAAGCATCGTTGCATACTTAACATCTGCTTCTTCGCATATGAGGAAAATGAGAGATGCAGAAAAGTTAAGGCCAAAACCTTCAAAAGCATGACTGCCTAAGTCTCGTTGAAATCAATCTAAGCTAGGAGTCTAACAAGCTATGGACATCTCAGGTGAGTTAAATGGAAACTCTGTCCCACTCGTTCTGAGCTCCATCTCACTTCATGAAGCCATACCTGTCCCTCCAGCACGTAGCAACTGTCGTTCATGCAAACACAGCGTATAGAAATGCATAACATACTTTTTTGAACTTTTAGCAGACTGAAACCTCCTTTAATGTTCTGAAGTATTTCCAGTTCTTAGAGGGAACCAGGAGATGATTGCCAATGACAGAGTCTCATAAGGTTTTGAAAAGCAGACTTTATTTAATAGGCACATCATCGCTTTAATAGCACTGGGCTGCACAGCTCACTTCACCATTTGTAAATGGCTTTGATTACATTGCATTTCCTCAGTGTCGGTAGGATTCAAGTAAAAAAGTTACTGCTTTTACTTCTCTATCATTTCTCAAGATGGAAAAAAAAAAACAGTAAACAACTAGCGCACAGGAGCATAATACAGATAGAACTGCCTGCGATCCAGCAGAAGTCAAGACAAACTCTAATTTGAGCACTAAACAGTTAAAGCTGCAGGACAACCGCACTACATTTGCTCAGATGGGATTTTGCATGACGCAGGATAGAAATGAATGTTGCCCGCTAATACAACAAGGGACTGGCTTCCTTATACTGAGAAACAAAGACTGTCCAACACAGACAAGAATGAGGGTTTCAAAACAAAACAGCTCACATGAAATTAGCTTCCTTATTACTTCTGATTATAAAAGTTGTACTCCCTCAGCTGTAGAAGTTAAAGGCCTAAAAGTACTGCTTACAGAACTCTAAACCTGCAATTTAATCTGCTTTTCAGCCTTTCCCCCCTATATTACAACTCTTTCTGATAAGATAAAACCATCTTTAAGCGACAAAAGCATAGCATTCTGAATTATTGTTGTAATTAAGTAGTTTACTTGGTTGATATATTTCTTCCCTGAAAAATTGCATTTCAATATTTTATTAAATTCTACCAGTAGAAGCATACAAAATCAGAAATCATTAGAGAAAAAGAATATTACTCTATGAAAGAAAAAAGCATGACTTCTAACATAGTTTTATGAATATTGTAAAAGAAGCGCATATGGCATTGAAACATTTTGATAATGGAGAAATATTTTGTGAGTTTCAATGTTCTTAGGTTTTACATTCTATTTTCTGAATGGATAGTTCCAAAGTTAATACCTTGCGATTTTTTTTTAATACATTTTCTAGCATTGTATAGGACAGACAACCTAAAACCAACAATGCAGAAATCTAGCGTGCCGCACACTTTAATATACACTAGTTACTTTAGTTACTAGCACTTTACACTGACGGTACCTACTGTATTTGTAAAACTCATTTTTAAATCAGCTTGTCAAAGCTTTTGAGAAGCAATCTGGGCAATAAGGTGGGTATTTTTAGTGTCTACCATGAATATGGCCAATTACAGAATCAGAGGTCACTCTCTCCATACAGTGCTGACGAAAAGGAGGTGTAATCCAGAGCCCCAGGAACAGAACCTGGGCCAGTGTACGGAGGCATTCTCTTGATGCAGTACTGAGCCTGCTCAGGAGGCAGCTCTCGACGTAACTCATCTGCCAGGATATAAGGCTGGGAGGGGGGAAAGGATTGACAAATTCAGTATGCATTCTTCAAAGACACAAAATATATTTGTTTTCTGTAGCTGTGAATAATAAACTCAGTCATCCTGCCTATTTTCCTGAGACCAAATATTTTCCTCAGTAAATTCCATCCCTAATGATGAGTTGAAAGGGACAATCCTACCAACAAAGTGATTAGGTCAAAATCCAGTCTCGGGCTATGTGACTGTGTATGTTAGCGACCGAGCATTGTGCAGCCACGGGCAGACTGCTCGTGGTACAGCTCATCCATGGCTAGCTAGTCAGTACCTCTAAAGTGCACTACTGACCCTTCTGCACTGACAGGACAGACGCATTAACAGTTAGATCCTGTTAGTTTCAAGGCCCTAATATATTTGTAATGGAAGATGCATTACTGCTCTGAACGGTGTGCATTTATGATATGAAGGACATCCTCTGTTAACAGACTTGACATTATTTAAAATAGCAACATAATGGAAATTTTTTTTTTCCTGAGACCTTGGCTTTCATCTTCCACATGAATTCCTACATGTCTGGAATTCACAATGTGGTCCACAGTAAATGAGATCACAAAATCAATACAAACAGCCAGAATGAGAAAATCAATAGAGCGAGCTCAGGCAAATAGACCTGTACTGCTGTGATCTCTCCTTTCTCCATAGCACAGGATCGGTTTCCTGGCAGCACTGTTTATGGCCCTGACTCCTCCAGATGCTCTTGTGCTGCCATTAGTCTCCCTTTTGTCTTCATACACTACTCGCTCGCCAGTGGATCTGGCTGTGGGGAGGAAAGTATGCCAAATTCAGGAGCTTCCTCCTCGTACCCGGTAACTAGAGGAGGCCTCCTCCTCCTGTTTCTCCTAGGACAGGGGTACACCACATTGCATCGCCCTGTTGAATGAGCTGTCAGGTCACAACGTGGCTCACAATTAAGTGTGCTCTTGTGCAACTGCCCCAGGCTATGTTCCACAGGGCCAAACTCTGCATTGAAACATCCAGACAACAGTATGAAAGGTAGAATGAGTTCCCCCCTAATTAAGGCTGTTGTGTGGAAATAACCTGATGTACAATATATCCATTATACAGGCAAACTGTCTAAGTCTTGTCTAAGATGTCTAATTGTATGTTGGCTCTTTGTGATATGAGGGTATACAGACCAAACCTTGAATTCTGCACCCATTTCAGCTAAGAGTCTTGGTTCCAAACAAGAAGAAAAGGCCAGTGCTTTCTCTGAAGTCTTACAAACTGAAAACAAAGCTATGCTATTACTAAAAGGCTTGTATAAGACTTCCAGCAAAGGGCGGCTAAGTAGGAGAGCTATTGAAGCCTTACAGCCAGCAGCGCAATGACTGACCTTATCTGAAGCCAGGATTCTGAAGGAAGCTATCACTTGCTCAGCCGTGTCTGTGTCTGCTGTTTCTCTGGTCATGAAGTCAATGAAGGACTGGAAAGTGACAGTTCCTTGCCCATTGGGGTCAACCAGAGACATGATTCGGGCAAACTCAGCTTCACCCTTTCACAGAATCCAAAACACAAAAAAACGGTCACTGTAGTATCAATCCCCAACAGCCTGGGTCTCCCATGAACCAGTAAGGACCAGTGGTTGAAGTCTTTAAAGCATCTCCCTGACTTAGCAACATAAATGTCAGTCAATGAAATCTGGGATTTTAAATGCCCACCCCTCTTTTGTAAAAAGGGCGTGGTGCTTTTGAAAAATGTATTCTTTGTCCTAAATACACAGTATGTATCTTTCAAGTAACTTTCTGCAATTTCTCCCCCCTCCCACCCTCCCTCAATGCACGTTGAACTTGTTTTAACTTAATACTTCATTTTCCACCCCATCCTAAAACCATTGTAATTTAGGTATCACACAGGGAGGTGAAACGATAGCCCAAGAAGCAGTGTACCTGCAGACCCGCTGAATTAAGAAGGGAAACAATTCTGAAAATGTCATGCTAAATATAGGACAATTCAACTAAGGCTAATCCTTTTTTCCACTAAAAAGAGAGAATTTGGGGGGAACTTTTTAGAATAAATAAGCGAAGGAAAGAAAATGCAACCCCCAAAGCTAATTTATGAGAATTAAGCAGCATCAAACTCATTCTTCCTCATGCAGATAAAAAAGGAGAAAGAAAAAGAATTAATTTCATAACTGTTAATTTCAACTTTTAAAGTTTCTTTAATTGAAAGAGCAATGCAGCGGACCATAGAATGTGACTTCAAAGTGTCTAGTTTTACTTTTAACCATTTGAAAATAGAGAAAAGCAAAGAAAAAAACTAGTATTTCTAGTGTAAATTATATTATCAGTATTCTGCCAATTTAAATAAGCTTTAGGGTTGCTGTGGTTAATGTTATAAGCTGTAAGCAGAATCAGTTGCCACTGTTTCTTAAAATTCATACCAAATCATAACCCATTGAAATTAAGCAAGCTCTGAAATCGTCGTGGTCCATCAATCCATTCTTCCTCTATTGATCAAAACCACGTAAGCAATATAGAAGGGAAGTTTTGAAGAATCCAGGGTAATTTCCAGAGATATGACGAGTTTAGACCATTGGCATATTGGATCCAGCGTACAAACAGTATTCATTGATATTGCCCAAGCAGGTCACCAGAATCATCATCAGTTTTAGAGGAGGAAGAAGTAACTAACATATTACACACAGGAAACAGACATTTTCACCACAAAAAGTAACATCAGGAAAGGTCAGGGGAGAGAGGGGAGAAGAGAAGGTGAATGAGACAAGAACACAGAGAACAACCAGAGAAGACAAAGAGAAGGGCAAGGAGAAAAGTTTGTTACTAAACTAGACAAACTCAGGAGATGCTCAAGCTGCCTCCCTGATACAAAATGTCTTTGAAAGGTTCTGCATGGGATGCCGTAGTGACTAAAAGTATAGTTAAAAACAGTCTGAAAATAGCGTATCACTATTTCAATACTCCACTCCAAGGCTAAGGTAGGTACACCATGAGAGCTGCCTGCTGACATATGGGAAATAAGTACAGGGATTTTCCTTCTGACTGCAGGCTATCAAGACCTGGCCTACAGCAGAGAGACGTGCATGCTGGCTTAAAGGATGAGACTTGCAAGAGTCAGGAGGTCAGCTGAGGACCATGTATAAGAGGAGGTTTCTCATTTTCCAGGCAGTAACTTATCTGTGGCATTCCT